ATGCAACTCACACTTGTCCATAAACATATAGAGATGAGTATTAATTGTTTTCTTCTCAAAAAGAGGAGCGATATTTAATGTTATGACTAATTTTCTTGAGACGGTCACAAATGGAAACATTATATATTCTTCGGCGCAAACGTCGTATGTACTGTGTATCACGCCGTACACGCGTCGCTGTGTGAACGCAACGTTAGCCAAGTTCGCTGACCGCCAGAGAGAATGTGTGTGCGCGCGAGGAAAAGAGAGAGAATCAGAGGAGAAGTGACGGAATAAACCGTGACCGTGACCGTGGCCGTGGCCGTGACCGTACCGTGGCCGAGTTGTCGCGATCGCCATAGATATCGTCGGCGGCGACGAATACGACCCATTATAAATCCATATAATATATTCAAGCATACACATATCTCAGAGAAGCGAATTTTTAAGCGGTCTGTATCCGGCCACGTTACGAGATATGTACAAGTACATATTCGAAGATATAAGACTTAAATCCAAACGTCCAAACAAGAGATACCTCGCGTGTAGAACTCTGCGATGAATGATCTTTGTTTCGTTTTCTTGAAACAGAGGAATAAACTATAAAGCTTTACTGCAATTTCTTTTCTTAATATATTTCGTGGGTTAAACTTGATTAAACCGATTTATCATCATTCAGCGCGTTAGTTTCACGTTACTGTGAAAGAGTCGAGTTTGAAACAAATTCATTTGAAAATAATTGGATAACGTGTTCTAATTTGTTTCTTCGTTATGCTGCCGGCATCTCATTTATTATATTCTTGAAAGTGAAAAATATTTACATCTCAAATTGGATTTGTCTAATTTTTTGACAAATGTCATTTAGAAATATTTTTTCTGACAAAACTGTTGCGTTATAGAGAATCATCTTAGCACAATTATTGTAAAATTGTCACCAGTTTATGCTATTATTGTGCAATATTTTCACAATTTACTTTTGGGGGATTTATCTTACAATTACTTTCGAACAACAAAAACAAAACAAATCGTGCAATATATATTTGTATCGTAAATTTTACGATTTAGTTAATTTTTTAAAAATTCAAATATATAATTCATAAGAAAAAAAATAATCTACATCTAAAGATAAAAAGAAAGCCGTATATAAAACTACAGAATATAACGTTGACAGATAAAAAGAGACCAAGAAAAGTATTGTATATAAGTTGTATATTTGCTATACAGTAACCGCATTCGCCGCGTACAATAAAGATATTGTATATTACGCCATACAATAACAAATGAATACACTTGGTATACAAAGCACGATGAAGTACACACAAAAAATCTCAAGTTCAATTAATCCCAGACAACTTCAAGATGCGTACTCTCTTTCTTTCTCTTTTTACTTATAAAGTACATACGAACAAATGTATTAAAAAAAAAGAAAGCCGTGGAGGAAATCTGGGGACTGCTACTTGGCGGTATAAGAGACACTGTCGGGAAGGCATAATAGGCGTCAAATGGAAAAATATGATATTTTCTGAATGAAAAAATGTGAGACGGCTCAATTTTATGTAGGCAAAAATACTTTGCGTCACTTTCTTCACTAAAGTACCTATTCTCAATCTACTTATTTCTCTCGTGAAGTACGTAACAAAGGTATAAAACGTCTATTCTAATATATTCTTTTCACGTCACTTTTTATCGCTCATTATAATATAAATGCAAGACTATCACGACCGATTGTTATATGACTATTGAAAAAATGACTCTACATTGTATGGCCATACGTTATGCACATTTTTATTTTTACATGGAACAGCATGTCGATGCGATGTGCGCGTTTCTGGATGATTAAGGCTTCTCAACAATTCCAATTACTTTGCGATTAATACATTTGCTACGAGATATACTTTCCACGAAGAACATGGTTGTCGGAACTTCCAATGCACAAACACATATATAGGATTTATATTATTCAATAATAAAGTGTCTGTGAAAACTGGAAGAGATGTGTCACGTGTTTCATGAGAAATCTAGCTACAGTCTACTTTGCTTGCAAGGTCAGTAATTACTGTAATTAAAAAATACATTATGGCCGGTATTCATAGTCAATTCTTATATTTATGACTGTCTAAAAGACACTCTTAGGATATCATGAACTAATTACACACACACAAGCCGGTATTCATACTCTATACTTATATTTAAGACTGTCTTGATTACAGTCTTAAGATGTTATAAATAAATCAGAGAGCATCTTAAGACATTACTTAAAGACGGTCTTAAAATAAGAACGGACTACAAATACCGGCCACAAAGCCGGTATTCATAATTGTTATTTTAAGACCATCTTCAATAATAGCATCTTAATCCTGATGGAAATTTTTTTCTAAATTGTGATGAAAAATATTAATTGTAATTGTAACGAATAATGATAAAATATTACTGAAATTGTAATGAATAATGATGAAATATTATTGAACTTTATATTGAAATCTGTATTAATTGACCCACTTTCAATATTATTTCATTCAGTATTAGAGTTCATTATTTAGCCTTACGTTAGTATAAAAATGCAATGCACTAAAATAAATGCGAAAATCATGTACAAATGTGATATGTCTGCAGATGGTCTAAGCTTCGATTATGGATGCGTTCCAAAACTTGAAACTGTCAACTCAGAGTATTTTTTATCCTTGTTTAATATTCGGTAAATAATCGTATAGAATGATATTCGGATCAACAAAGTCGAGTTTTGGAACATAACCCTGTAAACCTAGTTATATAGAATATAGAGAGAGCACGATTCCAACATTTTAATTCTACTATTTTTTTGTTGGTAATTATCATTAATAAGTCTATAAAAATATTGTATATTTTGTTTTAATGTCATTACCTTTTAAATATTTTCATTAATTTTTTAAAAAATTTATAATATTTCAACATATTTCAGTGTACAATAAATTGTAAAAATATTATATGTTTTGCAATGCTTTTTTTATTTATTTTTAAAAATTATTTTTAGGATTCACAATATTTCAGTATAATTCAGTGTTCAATTTCTCTTAATAAATTTGTATAAGTATTAAATATATTTGCATTAATTGTCATCACACTTCATTAATTTTAGTACAATTTCAATATAATTCAGTGTTCAATTTCTTTGAATAAATCAGGATGAATATCAAATATATTTGCATTAGTTTCAATATTTTTCACTCTTTATTAATTTTCATTCATTATCTTTAAAATTCATAGTATTTCAAAATTGAAAGTATTATTTGTGTTGAAATATTTTCAATAATACTTCAGTCATTTTCATTTCTCATTTCAATGATTTGATAGTCGATTTTAGCGATTTATTTTCATCAGGGAAGACATTACTTAAGACAGTCTTAAAATAAGAATAGACTATAAATACCGGCCTATGTCGGTATATGATACATGTAGTTAATGTAAAATCTACTTTTCAGAGCTTTAATGTAAAATCTACTTTTCAGAGATTTAATGTTTTTTGCAGATATTTTATAGAAGTAAAAGATAGGAGCGTTACCCTGGCTTTTCCTTGCAACCATCTTTTACCAATTTTTTTAATAGTAGATATTTAGCATATAATTTTATACACTGTATAGTGTTAAATGTATGATAAACATACAAAATATGGAGCAGAATTTGATTGCTCTCCGAAAACCATGTTGTATAAATATATAAATTTTAGAGCACTTTTTACTTTGTTTTTACATATATATATATACGAGGGTCGTCTGAAAAATTTTGAGCCTAACAAAGAAACAAATATTTTTTCGATCAAATTCAGTTTTATTTTTCAACATAGTCTCCTTTTAAGTTAATACACTTTTCCCAGCGATGCTTCCATCCCTTTAACTCATTCAAATAATAGTTGGTGTTTTGTTCTGCAAAATAGTCTTCTACGGATGCAATGATCTGCTTATTCCATGAACATCTCTGTCCTCCGAGAAACTTTGAGCCTAGGAAACAGGAAAAAGTCGTTGGGGACCTGTTGAATACGGTGAGTGGTCAATCAATTCGACCACAATTCGTGAATTTTTGCCATGATGATCGTCGAAGTGTGAGACGGTGCATCATCTTGCATTTTTTTCTTCTCTAAATGCGGCTATTTTTTCGCAATTTCTGCCTTCAGCTTGTCAATTAATGATGCGTAGTACACCCCCCTTATTGTTTTACCTTGTTCAAAATAGTTGATGAACACAATTCCATGACTATCCCAAAAAATAGTCGCCATCACCTTCCCGGCCGATGAAATCGTCTTTGCCTTCTTCGGAACAGGTGCATCCTTCGCAGTCCACTGTTTTGACTTTTCCTTCGTCTCAAGAACGAAGTAGCCAATTCAAGTTTTATTAACAGTTATTAATCGATGCAAAAAATCCGACTCGTTTCGCTTAAACCGCTCCAACAGGGCCTTGGAAATGTTCATTTGAATGAGTTTTTGGTCCACAGTGAGCAAGCGCGGCACCCAACGCGCGGTTAGCTTACGCATGCCTAATTCTTCAGTCAATATATGACAAACACGTTCTTTCGATATGCCCACAGCCTCTGCTATCTCTCTAACTTTGACAGTCGTTCGGTATGATTTGGTGAATTTTTTCGATGTTATCGGTGGTAGTCGCAGTTGTTGGCCGCCCCAAACGCTAATTAGCCAAGCTGGTACGATCATATTTAAATTAAATTAAATTAAGCTGCCCATCTTTTCATGGTGGCAAATAATGGGGCAGAGTCCCCATAAACAGGGTCCAACTCGACTTTAATTTACACAGGCATATTGCCTTTCATATGCAAGAATTTAATCATGACACGGTATTCGATTTTTTCCATTTTTACAAAAACACTGACATCGACTGGCACAAATGACTGTCAATTGAGCGTCCAAAATGAGTACAATTTTCACAGGTATCTTTCAAAATATGTACGATCGTAGTATCAGAATGGTTTTGATGAGTAATGCCGTCTTCATTGAGGCTCAAAACTTTTCAGTAGACTCTTTATATATATATATAAAAGTTTTATCATAATTGTTAAACACCTTATTTGTGTGTATATAATATATATGTATAAATCAACTGTTGACTATACGTTTACTGTTTTTTTACTCACTACGCATCTAATACTCATTTGTCCAGAAATATATCAATTTGTCACATCATGTATCGCTTAAATCATTACTACTGGTGTCTGCTTGTACTAGGGTGAAATATGATGTGTGTGTGTGTGTATGTACTCTTCATAATTCTCGAATCTATTTCTATAATCAAATATCTAATCAATTACGAAAACCTTAATAGATACCGATTATATTTTCTTCCTCCTTTATTACTTAAAATATATGTAAATAATTCTTATGGCAACGTCAACTACAACTAAAGAATATTTAAATTCATCCATCCAATTGCATTTTGGCATTTTACGTCCTTAATTATTACTCGTAAAGTAGTAAGGAATTGTAAATTATCGTTCTTTCGAAATAAAAAACGATTTATTCTTTCCAATCTTTCTTGATTTCAAACGCCCATTCCCATTTGAGATGTTCATGCTTGTCGTCGTCTGTGAAGAGAGAACTAACGCTGTATGAGCCTCGCGCTACGACACCGGCTGGCGCATCTTCAGCTGGAGTAGTGTAAGACTGAAGCTCTGTTTTAGGAGGATACGAGCCTACCATATGTGTCATTTTGTCAACTGTAACAAAAGATAAAAAATGTACAATTCTATCATATGCTACATATTCTAATTATTGCATATTCCATTTACCCGTAACTCCTAATTTGCATTAGAAGCATTAACACACAAGCAATCGAATTTATTATAATTATTAAGAATGACATAAATTATATTGAAATACAAAAGAAGAAAAAATAAATATCATACCAGGTACACCAAGGCGATAAGTCTTTTGAACATATTTTAATCCATGCACGATCTCGCGTTGCACAATAAAATCGATCCTGATTCTATAGCTCACGCCTTCCTTGATGACAAATGTCTGTTTTTTTAGCTGCGATAAATCACCAGTCAAGTCTAATTCCATATCCGGTCGATCAGCGACGCATAATGCCAATTTCTTCACTATTACCTTTCTAGGATCATGAGGATCTACGAGAATTATATAATTATTTAGAATGTTGTCACGTCACGTCTGCTATATGTTGTAAAGGGATTCAAATGTTAGTTATATAAAAACATTATACAAATAACATGTGTTGCACGCGCGCACGCGCACACATTCACGCACGCACGCACGTACACATTTTTATAGGTCTTGTAAAGAAAAATAATTACAATAAATGATACTGTTAATATAATTATTGTTCTTTACTATTTACTATAATATTTACTTAGAATAATTTTGATTGATTTAGTTAATTACTGTTTAATAATAGGTTCTTGAAGATTGATCAACGTTGCGGTAACTGTTATCACATCATCGATAATGTTCAACATGCGATGGTGAATGAAGTTTGAGTACACTGAATTCTCTTATTTTTCTGATAATCCTTTCTATTAATATGTGTGAAGACTTGCGATTCTTTTCAATACTTCATCTTTTGAAAGTTTTTTTATCGTTCGATACACTTATAGTGATCATATTAACACATTTTTTTCTTTTGCATATAATCGATGTGCTTGAATCCTCGATCTGTCATAACATCACAGCCATTCAGAAATTCTTGTAAATATCAGCTTATTTCCACTATTGCAGCATCGCTTATTCTTTCATCAAAATTTCACCGATATAAAATTTATAAGTTCTGAAATTGAAATTAAAAAATCAATTAATCCGATATATGAAATTATTACTTGGTTGGAATACAAAAAATATAATCAGGTGTTGCAGATATTAAATATTTTTTGTATTCCAACCAAGTAATAATTTTATATATCAAATTGATTGGTTTTTGAATTTCAATTTCAAAGCAATCTATTATCGCGATTGCACATTTGCCACGAAATTCCCTTGACAAATTCCTTCGTATTAATATAGCAGTAGCTCAGATTAATAATTTTTTTAGATGGACGACTAATACTGGTAAAGTTTGGCGAAATATGACATTGGCATTAGTTGAATCCAGTCTAAAACAAACTATCACTTAAACGAGAAAACGTGTCATTTAATTTTATTTTCGATAAAGTTAAACAAATGTTACGAACGCTAATGTTTGTTTTTTTACTTAACAGATTTATAAATCCATTAGCTGGAAGTCCGATACACATTTTTGGTTTATTTTTTATTAAGACAAGTCTTTCTAATGCTGTTTTTAAGTAACTTTTCTTCTGTTTCATCACTAGTTTCTTCGGAGGATAAAAATTCCTCGCACCTCGAGTATATCGTACAGGAATATTATTTTGTGACCGTCGAACTTGACAAATTAACAATATTAATAATAATTTTCTAAGTTTCCGTTGAACTTTCCGCGCGTAATTGGACTATCCCACCTTGTATATACACATAAATTCGTCCCACATAATGTCCCACCACAAATATCTTTTTTTCTACACCTTTTACCAAAAACTGTTTCAGACAGAAGTTTTAGGGTTTCAAGGAGCACATCAAATAGTTGTATTATTGTGACGTCACCAAGGTCAGGTTAAGATCACATCAATTTTTTTGAAAATGGAAATTCCCATTTTTCATTGCATATTTTTGTAATTTATCTTGAAAGCTTTTCAAGATATTATAACAAAATAGTTATAAGAATTGGAAGTTACCGTCGACGTTAGCATTACCCAAAGCGTCCGATCGACGGTTAAAATCTTTTGAATGTGATCATGCTCTAGATAACATTTGATAAGATCAAGATCATTGGAAGTTGTTCTTCTTATTTTCATTTTTGCACTAAAAATTCATTTTTTTCGCTTCGGCTTTTTTTGGTACCGGTAAGAAAATCTTTTACGTTTCCATATTCGTGGAAAAAAACAAAATTTTATAACGGCTCTTTGAATTTTTTTCAGACATCTTGTGTATAATATACACATATTCCATATTATGGAATAATAGCGGATAATAGCAGTTTTAAGGTTAAATACAACGTAAATAAGCAAAAAAAATATGATGTAACAAATGAGGTGAAGGGATTGGTTAACTACTGATGGCTAATAATGACGTCATACGACATTTTCGCGCGAAAAAGTCCGGTACAAATATAACAATTTTTAATTCGTTATTAAAATTATAAATATGCATATCATAATTCTTTAAATATCTTTTAAAACAGGTCTGTTCAAAACTTGATTTGTGAACCGAAATGCTTCCACCTCTCCGCTATGTCGAACGACGATCAGCACATGCAAGACACAGATGAAAACCAACTACATACAATGAAAAAACAAACGCAAATCTTCATTCTGCGTCTGCGTTTGCGAACTACGTTTTACTATTTACGAATTATTAGAAGCACCTTAAATGGTGATCGGCATATTTAGATTGTGCGCTGGTAAGTGAAGTAAGAGGCAGAAAACAAACAAAAAATCAGCCAAAATGTGCAGATATTTTCCAGTTATAATTTAAAACAGTAGAAAGAAAATACTGTAGAACCCAATTATAAGTATTAACGCGGGGATAAAAAGGGCAGAACAAGTAGCGAGGTAACTTATAAACAATTTCGAATACAACTGATCATATATTATAGGTATAAATGATTATACATATATTTATAAAAGTAAATGCTCACCTACTACAATGCCGCCGGATTTTGCTTCTCCCAGAAGCGTCTCTTTATACTTGCGCAAACTCTCGTCTTCCTTATCCGCTTCCAAGATCTGCTCGATGGATTTTTCCGGTGGAGGCTTATAACTGGATTCCACGTCCGGCTCCTCGTCCAACGCATCTACATGATCACCCGTAGAGTCAGACATCGCTATGTTCAAACCAGGAAAGATATACATATATATATAAATATATATATATAAAAAGACTTGAAAGAGAAGAAACAAAAAAGGATTAAAGGATGCATGATATTGTGCAAGTAGAGTAGACTAAATTGAGTCAAATAGTCCTCTATCAGTTTGCAATCTTCGCAATAGTTAAGTATGTATCTGAGTCATTTGTATGTGTTAATATTTATACTTTAAATAAACTATATAAAAAAAATAGAAAATAAACATTAATTAACAATTTTATACAATAAATACATTCTGTTCTGACATAAACAAATGAGCTTTGCATGTATTTCTGATTTTAGAAGCTAAATTTCTCGACTGTATGAATACTTTTTGAGCACCCAAACAATACAATTTTTTTATTTTGGCTTATTTTTTAGATGATATATTTTCTTAAATAAACCCCCCATTTTTCATTAAATATTCTTGTAGCTAACCTCGAGAGCTTTTCAAAACACTACAATAAAATATTTTTCCATGAAATACATTTCAAGTTATAAGGCTTGAAAGCTACAATACCGCCGGCATTAGTAATACGCAAGGTGTCCGACTAAAAATGAATTTTCAGTGCAAAAATGAAAATAAAAAAATTTTTAAATTAACAAATAGTTAAAATGATCAGAACTCTTCGAAAAGCATTAGAATACATTCAGAACTACACGAGAATTACCATAGACTATCAGAACTATTTAAAATCGGACAGCGTCTCATCTTCGTTCCCGTAAAGACCACTTTTGAGGGGAAAACATTATTTAAAAATCAAAATAACGATATTAATCGTCAGAACTCTCTTTAGAATTATGTATTTTTTCAAATTCTGTAAGACTGTGTCTAGAAACTGTGTTCTTCGTCAGACAAAGTTGGCGCGGTGTGTACCTGGCGTCTCATTTTGCATTTTCGGTTTCTCGGCTTTAATGGTCGAAATTTGTTTAACCTATATAGAACTATTGAAAATAAACTCAGAACTCTCAACATTTAATGTTTCCATCGAGTGAGACGCCAGCTTCACACATACCCAAATACACACCCATCGGTCATAGTCGTTAGGCGCGCAGGGAATTATTTTCTTTTGCTGCCATGCATAACTCGTAACTATTGTCATTTGTAAATAAATCTCCATACAGCTAGCGTTCACTCTATATATAATAGGCGTGCATTTGACTTTACAGTCGAATGTAAAGGGAGAGCAACAGTGTAAACGAAACTTCTAGAGTGTGAAACGTAGGAAAAGCACGAACATCTCTTTTACATTTCGCTGTTTCAATTTTCGTCTCCTAGAAATTTTATTTATACTTGTGTTACTCTCCTCTTACATTTGACTTATGTCCCAATTTTTATTTTCGCAGGGGGCAGATAAGCGTAAGCACAATTGTTGCTATAATTAACGAGATATTAATTTCTAAAGATCATCGAATCTTATTTGATAATCTTTAAACATTAATGTCTCGTTAAGTATTGCGACAATTGTAAAATGATAGACTTTTCGACTCAGTTTAATTCGCTCTATCCCTACTTATAAGCGGTGTGTTAAACAGTTTGAGACACTGTAGAATCTGCTGACGAAAACTCCGAAAATTTGGAAAATTGGCAATGGTGGCAGTAGCGCGTCGCAATAATCACGAATAGCAGGGCTGCTGGGCACCTATTATGGAAATGTCCGGAATGGATTCCGATCGGAATTATTTCGTTTTTCCTAGAAAACGCAATAAAAATCGAGGGAATAATTGAATAATTCCGATTGGAATCCATTCCGAACATTTCCATAATAAGTGCCCTGAAAAGCGTAAGAGAGGATTTTCCCATGGGATGCGGACACGCGGATCTGCAGAAATAAGAAACCAATATCAACATTTCGCATATTCCGCTTCGCTAAAATGTGGGCGCTTCCAAAAACTCAAGTTCGAGTTAGTTCCACTAGGACCGAAAAATATGATAGACATAACTACCTAGTAGGGCTGTGCGATGAAGAACTCGGTTTCGAACTCGGATCGTAAAATCGATTTAAGTAATCGTTATACAGAACAACGTATTTCGATATCGATACTTAACTCGGTTGAAGTAATCGTTACATTGAAACAACTGATTCGATATTGTTACTTAATTCACAATATTCTGAAAAATGAATGTTCTATAGAACATAAATTCGTATCGTATTGAAAAAAGTGAGTTGCAAGATTAATACGCGATTAATATTCGATTTAAGGAGTTTGCTCATCTTAATGAAAATATTACGATTTGCATAAAAGTTCAATATTACATTCTTAACAGCATAACACATTCACAGTTAAAATTTTAAGAAATTTGTCTACATAGTTTGTAAGAAATCTAAAGTTAAAGGTCATGATTTTTATGTATGTTCTTATGAATAAGAATAAGACAGATATATAGCCATATAGGATCCTGGCTGAGATAATATTTTTCGCAATAAGTTCTTTAATAAAATAATTTAGGGGGGATTATTTTATATATAGGATTGTGTCCGAATGTTTCGGCGCCTTATCGTATTCGTACTATTATTAACGTCTCAGATCGATTGTGGTTAATGTCCGAATGTTTCGGCGCAGTTACATCTGAGATAATTAAATTTAAAAATTAAGAACTTGTATTGTATTTGAGCCTCTTAGTTGACAAGTGGCATAAGTCCAAAATTAGGAAAAATGCGTTTATCGTAGAAATAGAAAGTATTAAGAATGGTTGTTTTATTTATCAATTTAATTTACTTTTATTTTATTTTTATATCCATAAAATATAAAAATTAATTTTACATCATAAATAAAGTGACTACAAAAAAAGCTGGAATAGTGACTTAAGTCCAGCTTTTTTTACGGTCACATTATTTATGATGTAAAATTGATTTTTATTTTTTATGAACATAAAAACAAAATAAAAGTAAATTAAATTAATAGATAAAACAAACATTCTTGATATTTTCTACTTCTATAACAAACTCATTTTTCCTAATTTTGGACTTATGCCACTTATCAATTAAGGGGCTCATTTATAACATCTAACTTGACCGATTATTGGCGTTCTTTATATTTATATGGTCCTTTTTAATTAATCCGCAGGTAAAGATGGAATCACACGATGCTCGATTTCTTGCACACATGCATGCTGCTGTGCTTGGTTTGATGTATACAGTCTGACGTTTGACAAATAGCTATGAAATTAGTAATTATTTCTTTTGATTGGTGCATGCAAGGAAATAAGCTATAAAGTAATCCATAATATAATCCATAAATATAAAAATCATGTATATGCAGTATTCAGCGCTAAATGTATGAACGAATTCTAGCATACATCAGAACAGGCATGACTGTATACATGCCATCATTCAAGAAATCGAACATCGTGTGATTCCACCTTAACTCAAGAACACAAAATCGTAGAAACATTTTTAAAAAACGATTTTGTAGGGAAAACTTTAAGCTTTCACGATATATGGTCGAAAATTTGCTCAAATTTTTTGGACACGCTATGAATCAAAGTGAAAAGAAAATTTTTCATTTTTTTTCGACTCGTAGATTTTTATATGTAAAAATTATCAAACTCACATAAATTCAAAAAATATAGTAACCATTCGAAAACAGAGATTTCAAGCTTTAAAATTCTTTTTCTAAATTTAAATTTTGATCATTTTTAACAAAGATATTGATGGGGAAAGATCTTTTTAACAACTTGTAAAGGGACTTCTTCCTTAACCCAATATATACCGTCTATATTTAAAATGAAATAGATATATGATTTCACATCGAAGAAAGAAAAGAACAATAAATTCTCCTGCACACACTCACACAAAGAATATATTGTATTCGCTTTGTTTGAAACGTGCAGTCAAAATACAACAGAGCAAGTAAATCCGCGGGGAAGTAGAACGAGACGATCAGCTGGAGATCCTCTCAGCTACTTTCCTCTTTTCTCTCTCTCTCTCTCACACACATTCTCATTATTCTCTTTACGATTCTCGTCTCATCTGTTTTTGCAGAATTGAAAATGTAATACCGCAATCGATCTCTGCACAGAAAAGGGTGCTAATCGCAACTCTTGTCATTCGCTCGTGCAAGTAAGGCGCATTTTCGCGCAACTTATACCAAAATCCGAAATCAGCTCCAAACTCGATTCTACGTATGTTTTTTCATTTTCAAAAGAGAACGAAAAGACGCAATACGGCGCGGCTTCAAAGACCAGAGGTTCGATGCATAGAATTTCTCCGGGAGACGAAGACTTCCGTGATAAATTTCGCCTTATTTGCCTGGAGAGGAGAACGCGAGGTGACGATGATTACTCGCTTAGTCCGGCACACTCCGAGTACCCGGCACAGCGCTCACCGCTCATCACTTACCGTCGACTCTCTCCGACTCTCGACTCGGCTTGACAGGCGATTTGTGAAAGTTACGATAATGCGACCGGCTCTCGCGTTTACGAGAATCCGCACCAGATTATTGGCAGCCGATTGTTAATTCTTGTTTGTCTACTCTTCCGTCTCACGCTTCGCCAATCGGAAGATACTGACAACATGGCGTCGCGGCGCGCAGTCGGCGCAGTGCGCACGGAAACGGAAGGGCGGGTACTTCTTATGGCCGCATCCGCATCAGGCCGCATTAAGGCCCGTCTACAATACACGGAGTAAACAGTAAGAGTAAGAAATTGACCAATCACAGTCGAATGTGAGAAGAATACTCGACTGTGATTGGTCAATTTCTTATTCTTACTTCTTACTCCGTGTATTGTAGACGGGCCTTT